AGGAGAGGAGAGGAGAGGAGAGGAGAGGAGAGGAGAGGAGAGGAGAGGGAAAACAAAAAAGGAGAAAAAATGAGGAGAAGAAAAAGGAAAAGGAGAACAAACAACAGCAGTGAAAAACGTTTCCCATGAGAAGAGCTCTTCCATCACATCTGTGGGCTTTAGCACCTTCCCACCCAATGCCTTCTTTCCCCTCTTGTGGCAAATTGAAAATCCTCAGCTTGTTGGTCAAATGGGCATTATGAAGTGTTACTAGAGAACAGGGCAATTGTGAGTCATGCTGTCTTGATCTAACCAATTCTTTTCCACTGACATTATTGAAGCTAATGCTCAGTTCACTGTGATATCCTAAGGCACAAGTCAGATAACTGGAGAGGATGTGTAGCACTGCTCTTTTCATCGAATCACAGAATGATAGAATCATAGAATCACAGTATCATAGTATCACAGAATCCTAAGAGTTGGAAGGGACCTCTGAAGGCCACCTGTTCCAACTCCCCTACAATGAACAGGAACAGGTTGCCCAGAGCCTTATCCAGACTAGCTTCATTAGTCTCCAGGGGTGAGACATTGACCACAACACTAGGTAATAACCTATTCCTGTCTCACCATCCTCACTGTAAAAGATTTTTTCCTTATATCCACCCTAAATCCACCCTCCCTGATCATGAAGTCAGGACAGCACTTACTGACACTTTTGCAGCAGTATTTTCCAGAAAGATTTTCTTCATTTGCAGGAAAAGTCATAAGAAGAGACATGGATCTTATGATTTTAGAATGAATTCCATTTGTGATTTACAGTATGGTTTGCATGTGAGAGAACACTGTCTACTTCCTTCACCTGAAGGCTAAGCTTCTCCTCTCACGGGCAGTATTCTGACTGGATCTGGAGATTCAGGAATGAAAGAGTATCATAAACTCATAGAATCACAGAATTGTTTGGGTTGGAAGGGACCTCAAAGCCCACCCAGTCCCAAACCCTGCCATGGGCAGAGCTGCCCTCCACCAGTTCAGGTTTCCCAGGGTCCCATCCAACCTAGCCTTGAGTACTTCCAGAGATGGGCCACAGGTTCTACGGGCAGTCTGCTCCAAGTATTTTTTTTTAGATTTTTTTTTTTATTTATTTTCCTTGCCCCTATAAAGAGAATGTCCTCAGAAGTACCGATGTTCAGTTATTTCCCTCATTTCAAAGAATATACTGTAACAAGTAGAAGGATGTGTTAAGCTATCGCATGCAACCATAGGGCTAGATGATGTGTATGCTGGCTAGAAATTTAAATGTGTTCTCCTGAATGACTTGTATATAAAATAGAAAAGTCTTTTATTGGTGACATGCTTTGAAATTTGTCGTCAGAACCCCAGGTTTAGTGCCCTGCTTTTAGGCTCTGGGGTAAATAAACGGTTGCCACAGACGTTTAGCTTTTTTAGTCAGAGCTTTAGTCTTAACTCATAGACAGAACCATAGAGTCATTAAGATTGGAAAAGATCTCTCAGATCTTTGGTCCAACCATCAGCCCACCCCCATCACTCCCATTAACCACGTCCCTCAGTGCCACATCCATACAGTTCTTCAGCACCTCCAGAAACCATGACTCTACCACTTCCCTGGGCAGCCTGTGCCACTGGTTTTGGTTTGTTTGAGGTCAAGGAAGATAGATAGACTTTGCCATAAAGTCATGTACAGCAGTGTGTGCCAATAAAGATTTTATTAGTTTGAACTTTGGAATACCACATTACTCATAAGTGATGATGTTGTGTGTAAATCCATTGTTTCAGGAAATACAGGAGGCTGATGCTCAGTGTAATGTGAGAGAATCCTTGCCCTGCTGAAAGACGAGACCAATTTCCGGTGCCTTCAGCACGAGCAGCATTTTGCCAGTGACATGTTCAGTAGCAGCAACACACACACACACACATATTTATGCACACGTATATATGCATACATGTATGTAGGCTGCACCGAAAATAGTGCCTTTTATTTATTTTCATGGAAACTACAATAAAGAGCATAATAATATTATGTGACAGAGCAAATTCTCAACAAGCACTACTTTTCAACATAGTCACCACTGTTAGCTACGCGTTTTCACCAGAAATGAACAAAAGCCTGCATGCCATGCTCATAAAAGTGACACCAGTGGAGGTGACCCACTGTCACCACTTCTAAAGGCACCACCCACTACCACACTGTGCTCATATCCAGTGTTTGGTGTCCATAAACGTTTAGTAAGTGCTGATGAATGTTAATGAGTG